GGTCCAGGGCTCATGCAGGTCTGGGTTTGGACTTTGGGGTACCTCGCCAGCAGCTCTCCAGCTGTGACCAGTCTCACGTACTGGAGGGGGGTTTAGAAAATCATCAAGCAGACACTCCAAAGCAGACACTCCAAGCAGACACTGTGGGGCCCTCTGAGGTGTAAGGGCCAATGCGGGGTGATACCGCCTGTCTGAAATCTGAAAAGTTCTGGGTCGAAGCATATCTGGCTCTGTGGGTTTTGCCCGCGGGACTGCGCCCTGTGTACTTTCACATCAGCCCCACCGACCTCTCAGGGCTGCCGTGAGCTGGCCTCCAGGTAGACTATGAGTATGCAAGAGCTTTGCAGGCCATGGACCACCAGCAGGCCACTGACGCCCAGCCTGACCGCGTGTCTGGAGGTGACTGCCCTCCCCTGCTCCCCAGAGTTAGCCTCAGCCTCAGTCTCCATCTGGGACGTGAGGCCGGAGCCTGGCTGTGTGTCTACCAGGGGTGGGGTGACCTGGAGCTTCACCCACAAATTTCCACTAAACTACCAAGCCTTCAGGCCCTGGGTTCTCCTGGGTCCATCAGCTAGAGGGTCCTCAGTCAAATCCAGTTTGGGGCTCCAGTCCCAGCTGAGCTACTTCTCCCTGTGACCTGGGGTCAGCTCTTTGCCGTCCCTTAGGCTCAGTCTTCCCGTTTGCCCAACTAGGGGTCCGGCGCCACGATGTCGCAGGTCCCTCTCCCCCAGCCTGGCGGGATTCTAGAATTCAGAGCATCCCCCCTACAACAAAACAGATCCTCCTGAAAGGTGGCCCTAGAAGTCACTTGGAATGTTCTCCCTCAGCCAACTTCCCTGCCCAGACCAGCTTTTCAGGGGCCCTAGAAGCTGGATGTGGAAGACGATGCTTTAGGTTCTCGAGGGGCTGTCACTGCTAAGGGAAACGGTGGGTTTCCTGGCACCGGAGGTGTGTGAGTGAGTGCTCAGCACTACCTGACGGGCCCCAAGCACAGGGAGGGCGCTGATTCCCGGTAGTTCCCTCCAGTCCCAGAGTCGGGGATGCCCTGGGGTCCCGGACGGGGCTGGGGAAAGGCAGGTCTGGGTGGTGCTTCCATGGCAAAGGAAGGGATATTTTTTAATCCTTGGCCAGTGACATTTTTTTTCATTGCTTTTAGAAAGAGAGAAATAGGGGAGGGGGGAGAGACAGAGAGAGAGAGAGAAGTGGGAGAGACAACATTGACTGGTTGCCTCCTATACACGCCCCAACCAGGGATCAACCCTGAAACCTAGGCATGTTCCCTGACCTGGGACCTTTCAGTTTATGGGAAGATGCTCCAACCAACTGGGCCACATTGGCCAGGGCCAGGGCTGAAGGGCATTTTTTTTTCCATTTGATAAACACGGTTCTTTTTTTTTATTTTTTTAAAGATTTTATTTATTTATTTTTAGAGAGGGAAGGGAGGGAGAAAGAGAGAGAGAGAGAGAAACATCAATGTGCAGTTGCTGGGGGCCATGGCCTGCAACCCGGGGCATGTGCCTTGATGGGGAACCGAACCTGTGATGCTTTGGTTCACAGCCCGTGCTCAATCCACTGAGCTACGCCAGCCAGGGAAACACGCACAGTTCTTAATGAGATGTGGTCCCTTGCACTGAAGGGACTGACAGGCCATCAAAGAGTCGTGTTGGTCTGAAAAGAGCTGGGAGGGAGTGATGTCAGGGATTCTGGGGGAGGAGTTCTGCCAATGGGGGGATGCAGGGAGGCTAATGTTTGCTCAGAGCTGGGAGGGGAGAGCCTGAGTTTTTCAGGCAGGGAAGGGCAGGCAAGGGCACTCCAGGCAGGGGCAGCCACGTGGGCGAGTGCTTGGCAGTGAGAAACAGCCGAAACAGCCGCTAGGTGTGCGGAGCTGCAGCTCTCCGGCACTGCTGGAATGGAGCTGGGGGTGCTGGGGTACAAGTGGTTAGAGGCAGGCCGGAGGGGCAGTGGGAGCCAGGTCATGCACGATCTTGGGTGCTAAGCCAGGGAGTTTGAACTTGATCCTGAGAGCAACAGGGAGTCAGGGAAGCTTCCAGGCAGAGGAGGGAGGCAGGGAGACCTGTTTTAAACAAACAGCCCATTCTGGTTGCAGAGTAGAGACAAAAGCCTTGGCAAAGCAGAGGGGAGAAGCGAGGAGGGGGCGGCCAGCACCAGGGTGAGACAGACTCAGTGAGGGGAATGGGCTGGGATGAGGTGGATGCCATAGACATATCTGTTCTCGCCGGCATATTAGCTTCCTGAGCGTGTCCCCTGTTAATTCCTGGCACCTGAAACAGAGCCTGGCACATAGTAGGACCTCATTAAGAAATACTGAGTGAATATTTTTGAATGCAGTTGAATCATGTGGGAAGAAGTGTTCCAAGATGCAGAGGGGTAGCAGGGAGGGGGCAGGACGGAAGCCGAGCACAGAGACTTCGCTGCATTGTAATAAACAATGTTGGATGCGAAAGGACGGACTGGAATGTCCAGCGTGCGGGAGATGCTGATTCATTTACAGAACATCTACGCTCCTCAGCCATTGAATGAATCGATGAGGTGGGTGGCTGTACGTTGGGCTGAAAGGGTATTTCTGATATTCTGTTAAGGGACCAAGGCAGTCACAGACAGGCACGTGTCGTAAGAGGGGCACGTGAACCTGGATCCGGGAGAGGCCTGGGCGGGTGGGGGTGAGGACAACAGTTGCAAAGCAGATGGCAGCTGGAGTCAGGGGCAGGGATGACATCACCGGGAGACTGCTAGACCAGAGGACCACAGCCCTGCTTGGAGACAGGTGCAAGATGGGCCTAGGGGAGGCCTGTCACCTGGGGTACCCCAGCCGAGTCAGCTGAGCCTCCTGGGCCCTGGGGTCATCTCCTGTCACCTAACCCAGCAGAAGTGCTCTGATTCTAAACCCTGGGATTCTCAGACCCTGCAAATCCCACTGGACGCCCCTATCCCCTGCCCAATCCTGGAGTCATACACTGTCGGCAAATGCTGAGCAGGGTCCAGTGCCCTCACGGTGTCCTCCCTACTCCCGGCCTGCCGCTCCCCAGAGTCTCCTCACTCCAGCCAGGATCACTTCTCTTTTGGGAACCCAGGTGTCCTGCCCCCTCCACTTGGGAAAGTCTGGGAGTGAAAATAGCTCAGCAAGAGGGGGCCTGCGTACCCTACAAGGCTGGGCCCGGGCAGCAGCTGCCCATGTGCCCCTCTCTAGCTCCCCCAAGCCGCTGCCTCAGCAAAAAGTGTCCATCTGGCCCGAGAGTCAGGTTACTATGTAAGGGGACACAGGGCTCCCTCCTCTCCAACCCTGTGGCCTTTTCAGCAGACTCAGAGTCGCTGGGCCGCGGAGGGGGTATCTTGGGAAAGAGTAGGGATGGGGCAAGCAAGGGGCAAAAACCCTCAGGTTGGGGGGATCCTGTTTTCCGACAGTATATGATTTGGGTACTATTTCTGCCGTTTCTCAGCTTCAGTTCCTCATCTGACAATTGGGATAGAGTGACTGTGGATGCCATGCTGGGAAGAATACAGACGAGAGGGTGGAAGGGGTTTGGGATGGGTGTCCCCTCCCCAACATTCCCAAGTCTCTGCTAGTTGTCTGGCTGCAGGTCCTCAGGGTGGGGCCTGGGAATACTTAACTAGAGAGGTGAAGGTGGGGTGTGGCAAGAAATAATTTATTCTTCCGGAAGGCCCCAAGCTTGGAATTCCTGGGCTAAGCTCAACCTGTTTTCACCAGGGGAAGTGGACCCAAGGGAGTGAGTCCTGGGGGGCAACCCAGAAACTGTCCTTGTCATCCTAAACCCCTCATGAGGGCTCCCAGTCCTCTCCTCTGGCCCTGGGGGGCCGCAGAGGACTGACGGGCAGAGCCTGGGCTAAGGAGTGGCACTGTGCAGGCTCTGCCCCTGTCTTGCTGAGATGACAACCACGAACCGATCGGCTTCTCGGGCCTCAGTTTTGCCATCAAGAAATGGGCTAGTACTCACTTTCCTCTGCTGCTTCTCCCAGGCCGGGTCCAGCAGCAGGTCGCGGTCCCAGTCCTCCTCCTGTTCCATGTACTCGCCGCTGCCGCCCGCGAAAGGCCCCTCCCCGGCCCCCAGGCCCTCGGGCTTCATAACCATCATCATCTCGCTGGCGTTCCTGGCTTCGCTCTGCTCGGCGCTCTCCAGGACACAGGGGCCGCGTTAAGTAGCGCCGGGCCCAGCCCCGGATCGGATTCGCGCTAAATATGGGGGAGGTGGGAGGGGCATGATGGGGGCCAGGGCGCTCGGGTCGGCACCCGGCAGAGGTGGTCCTGGGGCCAGGGGACTGCAGGATCTGGGGGCGCTGGCGTGGATCCCCTGATGGAGATCCGGGGTTCGCGTGGGCGCTGTGTGACCTTGGGAAAGCCACAGGCCCTCTCTGAGTCTGTTTCCTCATGTGTACAACAATGGAGACGTCGGTAATAGTGGCTGCAGACTGCTCTAAGAGCTGCCCTTTGGGCCCCCTTCTGACCTTCTTCCTGCGCAGCTCTGGTGGGAAACAGGGAGCCCTATCCCCATTTCACAGTCAGGAACACCAAGGCGCAGAGATGTTTTTAATATTTTCGGGGGTGATAAAGGGAGACACTCGAGCAGGGGGAGGCACTCCAGGCCAGCTGGATAGGCCGATGGAAGGCTATTAATATCGGGGCGGCTGGGGGCGAGAGAGAATGTGCTGAGCCGGAAAACCCCGACGCCACCAAGGGTGCAACTCAATCCTGTGGGCACACGGGAGAGCCAGACCTGCCCGCTGGGCTTCTGAGGGAGGGGCGGGGCCTCCGTGGGCGGGCGGGGTTATAACGGCGCTGCCCTACTGCCTCCAGAGCCAACAGGATTCCTAGCATCTCCTTGGTTCTCTCGGCCGTCCAATCACAGCCCCTCATCTGCAGTCCGCTCCACAGTGACTCTAAGCTCTCACAACACCCCGTCTCAGAGCTTCCATTGGTCGTGGTAGACATCCGTCTGACACTATCCCCGCCCTAATACGGAAGCGGCGGGGTACTCGGGATCCGACAGCGGGTGGGTCCAGGCCATGGGGCAGCCCTGGGCTGTGGGGCGCACGGAGGGGGCGCCCGGGCGGCTGCCCCTCGTGCTCACCGCGTTGTGGGCCGCGGCGGTGGGTCTGGAGCTGGCCTATGTGCTGGTGCTGGGTCCCGGGCCGCCCCCGCTGGGACCCCTGGCCCGGGCCTTACAGCTGGCGCTGGCCGCGTTCCAGCTGCTTAACCTGCTGGGCAACGTGGGGCTCTTCCTGCGCTCAGATCCCAGCATACGGGGCGTGATGCTGGCCGGCCGCGGTCTGGGCCAGGGCTGGGCGTGAGTGGGGCGCGGGATCCGGCGGGGAAGCGGGAACCCTGGACAGGGGGAGGGGCTCTAGGACATGAAGATGTTAGAACCAGCTTCCTATAGGATCTGCTTGTTAGAGCCAGAGAGAATTCCTTTAGATCCTGGGATGGGACAGCCAGAAGGAGTATCATTCATTCACTAACAGATGTTTACTGAGCACCTACTATGTGCAAAGTACCCTTCCAGGCACAATAGGTGCAATAAAACAGGTTCCTGATCTTCTGGAGCTTATTTCAGTGGAGAAAGGGGGCAGATGATAAACTACAGGCAAAATAAATAAGCAAGTTTGTGGAATATTAGAAGATGGTGGTGGTATGGAAACAAAAAGTGGGGCGGGGTAGAAAGGGTGCAAGGTGTAGTTTTCAAGAGTGTGATCAAGGGAGGCTTCATGGTGAGGGCGGCATTTAAATAAAGACTTGAAGGTGGGAAGTTAGTTAGCCATGTGGGAATCTGGGGGAAGAGTGTTTCATGCATAGGGAACAGACAACATAGAAGCTCTGAGGCAGTTGTGTGCTTAGCATGTTCTGGGAGCAGCAGGAATGCCAGCGTGGCTAATGTGGAGCGAGAGACAGGGAGGAGGGAGGTTAGACAGGTAAAGACCTAGTGGGACATTGAAGGCTTTGCTTTTTACTAGAAGTGAGATGGAGAGCCATTGGAGGGTTTGAGCAGAAGACAGATGTGACTTCGATTTTTAGGGTCAGTCCAGTTGCTGGGGTGAGAAGCTTGCTCCTGGATGTTAGAGGCCAGAGAAAGGCCTTAGGACTAGGGATGTCAGAGCTGGAAGTGACCTCAGACCTGCAGTGCCAGAACTGGAAGGGCCTGGGAAGTGGTGTTCAGCCTGCACTTACTTACGAAGAACCTGAGGCTTAGTGAGGCCAGCCCCTGCTTCCCCAGGGTGGGCTCGCAGGCATCAGATGGGGCTCTCAGAGCTGCTGGGGGAACTGACCCTGCGGTTCCTTCCTTGCAGTTACTGCTACCAGTGCCAGAGCCAGGTGCCGCCGCGCAGCGGGCATTGCTCCGCCTGCCGCATCTGCATCCTGCGTCGGGACCACCACTGCCGCCTGCTGGGGCGCTGCGTGGGCTTTCGCAACTACCGGCCCTTCCTGTGCCTGCTGCTTCACGCCGCGGGTGTCTTGCTGCACGTCTCCGTGTTGCTGGGCCCCGCCCTAGCGGCCCTGCTGCGAGCCCACACACCCCTCCACACCGCCGCCCTCCTCCTGCTGCCCTGGCTCATGCTGCTCACAGGTGGGAGCCTGGGACGCCTCCGCAGAGAGGCAGAGGCCCTAATAGTGGGCCGTTCTGGTGGGAGATGGGACTTCCGGCTGGTTCCCCTGGCCATGCCCTGGGTGCCCAGTCCCCGAGTCATGTATGGGGGGTGAGGTATTCAGTTGGGTATGCTGTGTGGTAAAATACAGCGCCGGAACACAGGTACAGAGACCTGCCTGGCAGAGTTAGGGAAGCGTTTCAGGAGGTGCTGGCGGAGGGGGGAAGACTAGTGGGAGTTCCCGGGGGCGGGGTATTCTACGAAGGGCCATTCTAAGTGAGGGCTGGATGTGGGGCAGGGAGCGGCAAAGGTAACTTGATGGGAACTGTGCGAGTTGAGGCTAGGACCGCAGGTTAGGACTGGGTGCTGATGTGAGGAGATGGCCGTCACCCGACTGGACAGTGGGGAGCCGGTGGAAGTTACAGGCAAGGGAAGGGGGAAGGGCCAGCCTTGGGAAGCCGGGACGGGAAGACTCGGAAGGCTTATTGAGGGGCCAGGCTCTGGATGCCACATTTACTCCTGTTCCCTCTGCCACCACCCAAGGTAAAAGCCCCACTGGTGTTTTACACTGTCTGCTTTGTCCCCCTCAAAATGCTCGGGGCTCTCTTTTCCCTGACTCCCTCCTCCTGACCGCTCCACCCACAGTCCCCTCTGTAACCGAGTCCTGCACTGACTGAACTCCCTGAGCATTCTGAGAAGTTGCTGTGTCTCCTCATCATACCCAAGTCCGGCTCTGTCCCAAGGGCCCCCTCCCTGCAGCCCCAGGGAAGGCCCCAGGAGGCCCAGTGGGGCGGTCAGTGTCTTCCTTCGCCCACACTGGCTACCTGAGCGGCCCCCCTTGATGATCCCCTGCTTCCAGGGAGCCTCAAGCCCCCCAGCCGCACCTCCCTGCGGCCCACTGAAGACTCGGGCTCCAGCGCCCAGTCTCCCTCTGAGCCCCGGGCCCGGTCAAAATCACGGCTGCCTGAAGGTCTGGGCGAACGACCTATTCAGTGCCTCCTCACTCACTCAGCTTCTTCACGTCCCCCTGGTCCCTTCCTTCCCCTGCTCCCATGTCCGCGCCTCAGAGCTCGTCACGATTCAAAACGTGTCACCTCCCAAGTCTCCATCAGCTCTCCCTGCTCCCTCCGCCTCTTTGTTTCTCCGTCTCTCCCTCTCTCAGTCCACCACACCCGCCCTGCTAGCCCCTGGCCCTCGCCTTTCCGCGCATCAGCGCCTTCCCACCTTGGCTGCCCCGTGTCCGGTTTGCAGCCCTCGTTCCCACCACTCTCCTGCCAACGTCTCAAACCAGTTGCCCCACCTTCCCCTCACCGAGCCTTCCTGGCTTCTCTGCGTCAGCCGCTGGCCGCTGAGAGCTGCCACAGACGCGTGGTGTTTTGTGGCGGGTTGGTACAGGACACCAACCCCAACGAGCCCTCCACTGTGCCTGGCTGTCCTAGCCTCTCATAAGCCTCGCTCCCCTTGATGACTACAGCCCAACCCTTCCGAATCCCCTGTCCTGTAAGACCCCACCTCTTGAGAATCTATCGCAGAGAAGGCGAGGCATCAGGTGGTACCTCTGGCATTGTTCCGTCCACAGAGCTCTAAGCCAGGCCCACTGCCACCAGCTTCTCCTCGGAGGAGGCCTCACACTGTGGGCTGGCCTTTCCTCCTGCCCCCCCAGGCTCCATCCCCCTCCCCCCTCCGCATCCATGAACGCTTTCTTCCCCCCACATCCTCCTCTCGCTCTCCCCTCTGGTTCTCTTAGTACCCAAGCTTCTCCACGGACTTGCTGGGGCTCACGCTGCTTTTCCTCACTCCCGCCCCCTGCATTCCTCCCCCTGCTCCAAACTGGCTTCTGCCCCCGCCGCTCCTCCGAGCCGGCCTGGTCCCACAGGCCTCTGTCTCCACAAAACCCAGAGGCCCCTTCGAGTTTTCTTGCTTCACGAGATCTTCCAGCCTCATAAAACTGCTGACCTCTGACCTCCTTGAAGGGTTGTCTACCCTTGGTGTCACAGACAGTGTGTACTTGGGTTTCCTCCTTCCTTTCCAGTTTTCCTTTCTCTCTCTTTCTAAAAGATTTATTTATTTTTAGAGAGGGAAGGGAGGGAGAGAGAGAGAGAAACATCAATGTGCGGTTGCTGGGGGCCGTGGCCTGCAACCCAGCATGTGCCCTGACTGGGAATCGAACCCGCGATGCTTTGGTTCACAGCCCGCGCTCAATCCACTGAGCTACGCCAGCCAGGGCTCCCTTTCTCCTTTTATCTGGTTCCTCAGGATCCGCTTTCCTGGGGCTGAGGTCGAGGCACTGTTCTTCTCCCTCTCTCCACGCCCTGCGGGGGCAGTCTCCAAACTGCCCGTGTACCAACTCCCCACGGAACGTCCAGCCTGGGCTTCTCTCCCGAGCTTCCAGAACCATCCACTCACTTGTCTCGCAGGCACCTCTCTGTTCTGCCTTGGGACTGACAATGTTTTCTCCCTTCTTCACTTAACACATACCTCCTAACCTCCAGGCACCACCCAAATGATTCCTTTGTGACAATAGATGAATTCCACTTCCATTAGCCTCTTAATGGGTTTGCATGGCATTTCCCGCCACAGGCTGTTGGTTGAAAACCCACGTAACACGAAATTCATCCTTTTAACTGTTTTCAAACGCACACGTCAGTGGCATTTCCTGTCTACAGTGTTTCACAGCCATCACCGCCAGCTCCGGGGCATTTTCATCCGGGGCATTTTCATCACCCCAGGAAGCAGCCCATGGGTGCCCATTAAGCAGTCGCTCCCCGTCCCTCCCAGATCCCCTCAGCCCCTGCCACCCCCGAGCCACCCCGTGGATTTGCCTCTTTGGGCTGTTTCATATCAACGGCATCACACGATGTGTGACCCTTTGTGTCTGGCTTCTTTCACTGAGCACGATGTTTCCCGGCGTCTTGTAGTTCTGAGTTCAGCAGATACCTGTTGCCTTCTGTGGGCCAGGAAGGTGTAAGCCTCTGCGTTTCCAGGGTAACGTGCAGCACAGCTGTAAGTAACTGAGCAGGGATCTTGTGAAGGTCTGTGCGCTTCCCGAGGTCAGAGAGGCCGTCCAACGAGCATTCTGATAGTCGCAGTGCCTGGCACCGTGTCCAGCACACGGGCGCTACTCACACGTTTGTGATGCGTGAGTGACAGTTGTATGTAAGGCAGGGGGCTGTGTCCGCCCAGGTCACCGGTGTTCCCATCATCCGGCAGGGGCCTGCTGGGGAGCAGGGACGCAGTGTTTGCTGGGGAGGAATGAGCCCTGTTTCTGGTAGGGGGTTGGGGTGCAAGGAGGCCAGGAGCTGGGCTTTGGGGGACTGGGCCCGCTGCTGCCCCCTGACGTGCTCTCTCCGCTCTCTCCTTGCAGGCCGCGTCTCCCTGGCGCAGTTCGCCCTGGCCTTCGTGACGGACACGTGTGTGGCGGGCGCGCTGCTGTGCGCGGCCGGGCTGCTCTTCCACGGGATGCTGCTGCTCCGGGGCCAGACCACCTGGGAGTGGGCTCGGGGCCAGCACGCCTACGACCTGGGCCCCTGCCGCAACCTGCAGGCGGCCCTGGGGCCCCGCTGGATTCTGGTCTGGCTCTGGCCCTTCTTGGCCTCCCCATTGCCTGGGGACGGGATCACCTTCCAGACCACAGCTGACACGGGACCCGTGGCTTCCTGACTCCGGGAAGAGCCGGAGCTGTACAGAGCGGGGAGCAGTGAGGGAGGGGCTCACAATTCATGTCAGGGCCAGCCCCAGCCCCAGCCCCAGCCCCAGCCTCGGGTGGAGAGGCGGGTTGGTACTTGACACCGGCTTTTGGCCACTGCAGCCCCATCCTTGGCCTTGCCCCTGCCCAGCTTGGGCTCCTAGTAGCCAGGGCTTGGGCCCTACAATTCTGCCTCTACCAGTGGCCACCGAATGCAGGGGAGGGTCTGGCAAAGGGCGGCTCTGCCAGCCCGCTACTCCTTTGCCAGGTTAATAAAGTGCCCACTTGGTCCTTCGACTCCCTCCATCTTTGTGGGTTTCTGGTCCCTCACTGCTGCCCAGCTGCTGTTTCACACTCCTCTGACCACCACGCCCGGGAACCACAGAATGCCTGCGCCTGTGAGGGGCCAGGGCTCTGCCTCCTGTGGCCTCGGTGGGGTGGGCACGGCGGCGCCCACAGGCCAAGGCGGCAGGTAGCGATCCAGAGCATGAGAATGTAAAATTCTTTCCCAGGTCCAGTGCTTTCCAGTTAGAAGCATCTCCACCCCACCCCAGTTTCAGTGAACCCGACTCACCAGGTCACTGGGCAGCACTGACGCAGGTAAAACCCCTGAAAGCTCTGAGAGTTGCTGTGGTAAGGTCACGGGGTAGTAAGTGGAGGAGTCAGGGTTTGAACCCGGGTCTTTGTGCTTTTTCTCCTTCACCCCTGCACAGCTGAGGGAGGAGACTGGGACAGTCAAGGCAGAGAAACTAGCCAAGGTGTTGAGCATCTGCTTGGGAGCTACTTGTTAAACATTTTTATTTAAATGGAGTAACTAGAGTTAAATGTGGCAGATTTGAATACATGTGTTTGTCTGTTTCCTCTTAAAATCTAAAATGCTAGTGGAGAGATGAGAAGGATGTAAGTTTACAAGAAGAAAATAGGAGGCGGCAGTAAACCGAACAGCCTGGCCCGTGTACTGTGTCAGTGGAGGAGTTCTTGAAGTTGCGTTCTCAGAGGGAGGGGCCAAGAGGCAGCCAAATTGCCCCCGGAACCCCGGAGAGGCTCAAGAACCCCACCAGCACCACGGAGGGCAAGGGTCGGGGCTGACACCGCAGGGACTGACCCAAAGTCTATGTGGGCGGCAGCTAGGGTACCCCCCCCACCCCGGCACCCACCTCCCCCCTTACAGCCAAGCAGCTACCCCTCTGGGGATAAAATTATCTTCTATTTGAAGCAGCTTTGTGTCTCAGGGGCGCTGGGGAGAGTAGGGATGAGAGGCTCGACCAAAAGTGGGGTTCAGCTACAGGTGCTGTGTGGGTGGGGGTCTTCCCATGACACGGCAGACTTGCCTGCCAAGGACGCTCAGAGAAGCCCACCCTCCCGGCAGGCCCTGCCCAGGCCCACCAAGGTTTTAGCTGCTAGGACTTTTGTCTTTCCAAAGGGCATGATGCTCTGTTATTATTTTGTAACTGGGTTGGGAACGTGGGGAGCCTGGCGCTTTGTGCTGTGCATAGGCACTAGGAGACCGACTCTTTCCTCCTTTGCTTCACCTAGTCTGCCCCCCGCCCCGAGTGTCTTGGACATGCAAGAAAGTATTTATAAAATAGAAACACCAGCTTCCCACCCCCACCGAAGAAACGGGTCCCATTTCCCGGGACGTCCCTGCTGTGCCCTCCCGGGTAGGGGACACACTGCTGTCTTCATCATTCCCTGGCTTTGCTTTGTAATTTCATCCTGTCTGTAATGGTTTTGCATGTCTTTGAATTTGATATAAATGGAATCACACCGTGTTTATTCTGTGACTTGCTTCTTCACTCAACAGCATGTTTCTTAGATTTGTCCAAACAAATGTGCGCAGCTGGAGAGTGTCCTCGCTGCTGTGTAGCGAGTGCCCTCTGACTACGCCACGACGTGTTTCCCCTTTTGTCCCACCCGTCACTTTATCTGCCCCGTGTGCGGTCCCCGAAGACCTAGTCTTGGGCCTGGAACTTCTGCACAGGTTTTGGAATCAGCGTGTCAAGTTTCGCCAGTAAGAGCCCCTTTGAGACCGTGACTGGAGCCCACCGGGCCTGTAGGTCATTCTGGGGAAAGCGGCCTCTACATGAAATTGAATTTTCCAGTTAATTCCAACTGGCTCTGACGGCAGACATCGCATGGTTCCTGTTCTATTAAACTTGGTAAGGGGTATTCTATGGCTCAGAATGGGGTCTCTCTTGGCACAGGTTCCACGTGAGCACCAGAAATGAGCGTATTGTGCTGTTGCTGAAGTCGACTATGGACGAGACACCCAGTCGGCCAATGGTGCTGGCTCAACTGTGTCCTTAAAGAGACACCATAATTAAAGACTGAACAGAGAGCAAAAAGAGTTGAGAATTAAAACAGCAGTGTCGCAGGTTCGATTCCCAGTCAGGGCACATGCTGGGTTGCAGGCCACGGCCCCCAGCAACTGCACATTCATGTTTCTCTCTCTTTCTCCCTCCCTTCCCTCTCTAAAAATAAATAAAATCTTTAAAAAAAGTTATAAAAAACATTTAAAAAACAGCATATTAAAGACAATTTCAGAGAAGAGCTGAAAGATAAAAATCTAAAAAAAAAAACAACAAAAAATTTGAGAGAAGAGAGAGAAGAAACTCAAAAGGATAGATCCTGTTCTCTCTGGATTTATCAGATGCTGGGCTTGATCAGAATTCCAGCCAGAATGGGAGGGAACTATCCAGAAGTGAAGGACAGGCACCTCCAGCCACAGCATGACATAATGACACACAGTTAAGGCACGTCCTGACATCTTGGAACCTCAGAGAGAGTGGAGATCAGACACAAAACTCGTGTAGAGCTTCTCAACAGCATTTACCAGAAATAAAACCAGAAGGAGCACTGCTTAAAAATGATTTTCTTGCACGAAAATGACTTTCAATGTCAAACTTTATGACCCAAACTATCATAAACACGTATGAACTGGATAAAGAAAATGTCAGACACACAGTGCCTTAAATGGCAGCTCGAGCACTTTCTAAAGGGGGTCCCCGTGGAGAGGCCCGACCAGGTGCGCTGGTGACAGAACCACGGAGCGGAAGGCACGGCGCCAGGAACCGGGGCCTGGCCCAGGCCACGCAGGGACGCGCAAGGACTCCCGGGAGAGGGCCCTGCGGCAGTGGAGGGCCCCTCTTCCTGCAGCAGCAGGGGTGAGGGCGAGTGTCCAGAAAAAGAGGAACTGTCAGACCGGGTGGGGGAAGAATAGCAACGGGTGTACACAGAAAACTAAGCAAATGGAAAAAACAGGGTCATTATTAATTTCATGAAATATAAAAAAGTACCCTCAAAGTAATCTAATTATAGCCCAATTCTTGGTTTGCAGTGATGAACTTTCACACAGTAATGTAAATTGTAATGCAAACAGTGAATGTCGATTCACCTAAACCCCGGCGACACGAGGGAGGGACAGGGTGCGGTCACAGTATAGCTAAAGCCTCCTCTGTTGTGACGGAGCCAACAGGGAGCTCTGAGACCGAGGAAGCAAGCAGGGCCGGTCTAAGCGCATGGCAGCCAAGATAATGGCCGAGAGCAGGGCACGGTGCTGGGGGGCGGGGAGGGGTCTTTCCTTCTTCTAAACCGCCTCACTCCATAGTGCTAGGTAGGTGCATGGATTCAGATACTTTTTTAAAAGGACACCAACTCTCCTCATCCTTAATGCCCCCCGCTGCCTGGAGCCCTACCTAGCGAGGCCCCTGGGGTCCGTGCACTGCTCCTGGCGTCCTATTTGCTTTCCGTACACGGTCCACCACGCCGCGGTTCGCGTGTTGTCGGTAACAGCACGTGGCATTCCATCGTACAAATTCACGGTAGGTGCCGGGCACAGGAGCGGTTTCTCCACGCTTGTCATCGTGGATAGCCGTGCAGAGGACCCAGAGCCAACTTTCTGGTTCCGAGTTCGCACGGTCCATCATGTAACGGGTGAAAGGGACCGTGAGGTCGCGTGGCTCAACTTAAGAACTCTGAGCAGTGAAAGCCCAGCCGTGGTGACACAACTCGAGCAACAGGAGGCCACACTGTGCAGGGCAGGCCCTTCTGGCTCTGGGAAGCTCTCAGAAAGCTCTTCAGGTTAATCCAAGCCTCTCTGACAGACGCGCCCTCTACCCACCCTTCCATTTCCCGGTCAAACCTCCCGCAACGGGTGTATGTCTGAGTGGCGGACTGCATAGAGAAGAGGGGGATGGGCTCTTTTCTGGTTTAGACGCCTTGCTTTTCTTAACCTGGCCCAGAATGCATTCCTCAGAGGTCAGGGGTGGCTGTGGGCTGTTGCCCCAGGCCCTCACTGCGTCTGGGGCACGGAGGCTGTCGTCAGGCGGTAGCAACCAGCTTGGGCCCTCGGCCTCCTGGGAGACAGCTCCTCACCCCCCTAGAGGGGCCGCCACGCTCACAGGATGCCAGAACTGAACCCAGTCTCACTGCCTCACTTTACACAGGGGCAGGCTGAAGCCCCCAGGGACGTGGTTACTGCCCACAAGCCTGAGCTGTGGCCACACGCTAGGTTGCCCCTGGTCAGAGGGGGAGCTACAGGTCCTCCAGGAGCAGGGCTGCCGGCTCACGGGTAGCCCACCAGGTGCTGCGAGGTGGGCCAGGCAAACTGGCCGGGACTGCGGGTCTCTGGCCTTTGTGGTCTAAACACGGGCCTTTGGTCTCCTGCCTCACTCAGGCCTCTGGTCCACACCGTTCCAGCTAATTCCCTCACACTGGAGCCACTGCCAGGAGGACTCCCACTCACACGACTGCTCTGGGCTCCAGGGTGAAGAAGCGCGTTTCAATCGGCAGTTCTGGGCTCCCACCCCCCGAGCCGCCTCCCCAGGGCTCCGGAAACGCTCCCGCTGCCCCGACAACACCCTCCCGGTCCAGCGGAGCCTTCCTCTCCCGGGTGCCCGCTCTGGGCCCGAGCAGCCCACGCGGGATCAGCGGCTGTGTGGGCTTCAGGAGCCGGGCAGGGGCGGGGCCTCCAGCTCCCTGCACACACACACTCTCTGGGCTCTGCGTGGGGCATCGCAGGCCTGAGGCTTTGAGCCCAGTGTTTCAGAAAAGCCCCGTGCAGGGAGGCAGCCATACCCTGGGCACCCCGAACAGAAAGAGCCCCGTGCGCAGCTCATGAGGGGAGATCGGAGCATGTGCTTCGCTTGCGAGCTGAACCAGCAGCGGCCAAGCCTCCGGAACCCTGAGCAGCAGCACGGGGCTCGGTCTCACCCAAGAAAAGCCTCCGACTGCCCCAGGCCGGGCCCCGGCCAATTCTGGCCCGAGCCAGCAGCAGCAACAAAGAGCGGTGGGAGAGCAGGGCGTGGTTTCTGGAGGAAAGTGAGGAGCAGAGGGAGCAGCAGGAGCCCAGCAAGCCGACGCCTGCATCTTCCTGAGAGGAGAGGAGCTGAGCCTCCGGGGTACTCACGGGCCTGCTGCTGCGAGTCGCCCCACAGTCGAGATGGTGAGAGAGGGCAGCTTGGGGGAGCAGAGGGGCGCTGTTGCCCCGCACCCTGCGGTGCAGGGAGTGGGCCCAGGCCGCTGATTCTGCCTAGCTCAGTGGAAGGGGCTGGATCTTCCTGGTCCTGGTTCCAGCCCGGGGTCAGGCAGCGGCCAGCCCCTCGCTCACAGGCATGTTGATGTGCGCGCTCAGCAGGGGTGCGCTCTGGCCTTCTCGAAGCACCAGCACCTGTGAGGGAGGTGCCCATGGCAGCAGGGCTATGTGCCCAGGAGCCCCTGCCCCCTGCAAAGGCCATGCCCGGCCTGGTCTGCACTGGCCCTAAGCACAGGCCACCAGGGCTCAGTCAAACGGGGCGGGGAGGCCTCTGCTGCACAGACGCCCACCCTGACCGACCCGGGGCCTTGTCCACACTCACGCCCGCTGTCCTCCCCAAGCAGCACCCACAGCGGCCCACCTTGATAACGTCCGAGATGCCCTTGTCACTGAGACTCTCCACAAAGGTCTCCAGGGGGTAGCTGAGCCCTGGCACCAACAAGGGGACCTAAGTTCAGGGACAAAGAGGTTAGGAAATCAGCCCCCACGCCACGGGAAAACCAGGCCCTTCGCGCTGTAGGAGATTCTCCTTGAGGTGGAGACAGCCCCCCCCGCAAGGTGCTGCAGGAGTGGCTGTGAAGCAGGCTGGCTCTGAGACCCCCCCCCAGCACCAGCAGGCTTCCGGGAGAGGCACGGAAGGGACCCAGGCATGGCTCTTGTCCCAGCACTTGCTGTGTGGCCGGGAGGGAGGCAGCAGAGGCAGGTCTTGGGTGCTCTCCCAGAGGCCCCTGCCATGTCCCAGCCTGACCTGGGGCTGCAGCCACCTGCCAGCCCTCACCTCCGACCTGGAGGCGGCTTTGTGGGCATTTAATCAGGCCCCACCCTGCTTTGTGTCTCCGGGAGGTGGGCCAAGTACCTTGAAGAAGGCCCGGGGCAGGGCGTAGAGTGCCTCGTCGTACAGGAAGCAGACCAGCAGCCCCACGACGGGGCGGGCTGTCGAGGTGTTCTGCAGGTGCAGTGTGAGCTTGAAGGTGGGGCCCAGGCCCTGGACCTGTGGACAGGGCGCAGCGGGTGGGGAAAGCCCTTAGGACCCAGTGCCCCGGCCCTGCCTACCTGCTTCCTCCTCGAGTCACCCTCCTCCAGCTGCTCCAATGCACCGTCCCTCTGCCCCCCAGAAGCCAGAGACGCCCAGAAGGTTGGCTCCAATGGGTACAGGGATCAGCAAAGGTCCAGGGAGGGGGAGGGGTTCGTCAGAGGCCATTCGGCAAGCCGATCAGAGGCAGAGCTGGCCTCAGGACACAGGCCCCAACCCCCCCTGTGTCCTGACCAGGGCCCGGCTCACCTCCCCGCTCCTCCTGCAGGGGCCGCCCTTTACCCTCAGTTGCTCTGCAGCTTCTCCCTCTCTGTGCCTGCCCACTCTCTTCAGGGAAAGAGCAATCAGAAACCCGGCTGGGGCAGATGGCACACCTCAGGGACCCATTCAGAAGTCCTTGGAGCCCTGATGACCCTCACCCCGGGCCTGTGCGAGCCTCAGGATGTCCCCTCCTGTACCCGGTGGCCCTCCCGCCCTGGGCTGCCCATGGTTACTGAAATGGACCGCTTTCTCCCCTGTGTCACAGGGGGAAGAGTCCCTCCGGACTCCTGGGACGAAACATCCCAAGGTGACTACTTGTGCGCCCTGACTACTTGTGTTCCCACCGGCCCCTGACCTCTGCCCCTCCGGCCCTGAGGTTGCTGGCCCCGCTGCCCCACCCCTGGGTGCTCACCACAGCGTGCAGCTTGAGTGGCTCTCGGGCTGTGGCAGACACGGGGCTCAGGCTGGACTCGAGGGCCTGCACGTAGGCCCGGGCGGCCCGGAGGCGCAGCAGGTAGAGGTCGGTTTGGAAGGTCTGGTGCATGGCTGAGGAGGCACAGAGGGCTCACACTGGAGGTGGGAAGGCGAGGCGGGGGCGGGGGGCAGTGCAAGAGGAGGGTGCACTGGGCAGGATCTGCGGAGGCTCGGCGTGTGGGGAAAGGGGGGGCAGAGGTCCGACAGCCCAGCCTCCCGATGACCCCGGATGCTGGCTCACCCCCTGCTTCCTCCTCCTGGTTCCCCTACCACCCCACTGCCCACACCACCTCGGTGTCCTTTGCTGGCTCCTGCCATTCCAACATGAGGACTGGGGTTCCCTTAAGTCTTGTCCTAGGTCCTCTTCTCCCTCCTGTCTTTCTCCCCTGGGCAACCCACATCCAGCCCCCACCGTGACCGCCCCGAAGAGAAACAACGTGAGCTTCTGACGGCAGGGACTCATGACTGCTGGGTCCTCGGTGCCCGCCTCGGGGCCTGCCTGCGTCCACCCTGGATCGGGCATGGCCAGCAGCTCAGCCCCTGGGACAGCCTCCTGCTTTGGACCGCCCATGGTCACCTGCACCTGGACACCCCATCACCACCTCAGAGTCCACACCGCGGAGACCGAGCTCACCGCCCTACGTCCGGCAGGTGTCCCACCTATCCGGTCCCCAGCCCCACCCCTTCCACCCAGTCATTTGTCAGGGTCAGAAGATTCTTGTCCTCAAAGCCCTCTGCAGAGCCCCCTGCCCCCGTGGCCACTCCTTTCCAGATTTAGCACCTGGGTCTGCCGGTCTGTCCTTGACTTTATGTGTAAGGTGCTTTTTGCCATCCAAAAGTTTTGTATTTTTATGTTATCCCAGCTGTTAACTTTCTCTTTTAACTCTAGTACTTTCACGGTTTATTTTTAATTTATCCAGAATTAATTTTTTGTTTGGTGTGAGGTAGAGTTCTAGCTTTTTCTTTCTGGAAGCAAGGTATCCTAATTGCGTTTTGTGGACAGTCCCTTTGTTGGGAACCGCCCTGCCTGGTATCAGAAGCTGAAACCCCCGCCTAGGCTAAGGCTAAGGGGACGCCCTTGGAACTGTAAGCCAGCAAGGAGACAAAAGCTTATCTTCCTGGCAGGAATGCTACTTCTGCTGCTTTATTCATGACTGAACCCCCAAAAGCTTGGTCGGTTAGCCAAAGACGGGTAAGATTCCCCACGGGGGAACGACCTAAGACAGGCACGATCACTTTTGGGAGGCCCCCCAAAAGAAGGACTTGGGGGGCTGCAGCAAAAAGGGGGTGATGGACCCTCGCTCCTCGGCTTTGACATAGCCTGAGTTCTCATCGTCTGGGAGAAAATCTCCTTATCTCTTGGTTGCCTTAGTTCCCTTGCTCCACCTAAGCCTGAAACAATGACAGGGTGGTGCAGCTCGGTACTGAGAAGTGCGGATTCCCCAGGGTGATCAGGCCTAAGAAAGAACATGTAAATTACTGTGAAACCTTCTTTGTTTAGAATGCTCTCAGTTGAATGAGAAGGGTCTTAGGAGGAAGTTAGTTTGTTCCTCAGTCTTACAGCTCTTTGACCCCAACTCAATAGACCGGCAGAGTTCTTTGTTTTCTATAGTTCCTTACTTCCCCTAATGAGTACTGTACTTTACCTGAATTATTATGCAAAATGAGCCTAATAAAAGCAGGTATGGACTGTAAATCAGCGCGCTCCCCACTAGGGGGGGTGGCCATTCTGTCCCTACTTCCCCACAGAAACTAGTCTGTCTCTGTGCATGTGTCGTTTTTTCTCGCGTGTGTTTCGGCGAGCCATCCACAGCGTTCCGTGGTCACTGCTGGCCGGTGACCCACGCGCAACATCCCTTCTTCCCCGCTAATCTGAAACACCTTTAACTCACCTGGCTTCCAGGTACACGAGGGGCTGTTTCTGGACTTCCTAAATGTGCCGCTGACCTGTACCAATCCCCGTATCGACATCACAGCTGCAGATTCCCACAGCTTCACAGCCCATTCCAGCAGCCGGCTAAGCCCCCGCACTCTGATTCCCCCCCCCCCCGAGTTCCTGAGGTTTACCCTTGGGCTCAATTGGTCAAGTCCTCAAAATAAATCCCGGTGGGACTGAACTGTCCCCCTTGCTCTGTTTCTGCATTAATTTTAGAGGCTGTTAATTACTCTACAGCATTACACTGGGCCTTGCCGCCCCGAGACCTGAAAAATCTCATCATCTCAGGTGGCCTTTTATGTTCTTCAGAGGAGTTGATAATTCTTTTATTAGACTTTACATGTCTTTCTTGTTAAGTTTATTTATAGAGATTTCCTTGCTATTGTGAGTAGAGACTTTCCATTATATTTTCTAACTGGTGACTATTTGTATGTATACACAAGAACTATTGATTTTTGCATATTTTACATTTGGTAACCTTAGAGAATGTCCTAATTATTTCTCTAATCTATCAATTGCTTTCCTCAGACTCTCTAGGCGACACCAGCCTGTTACTTTCTTTATCCTCTCATTTACCGTTACACCGCAAGCAAGACTCCTTTTTAAGGCAGAGCTGGTTGAGTTACTGCATCTTTCTGCTTCACGTCTTTCCCTGCTCCCACTACCCAAATTAAACGAAAACACCTTGGGTTTGCATTCCAGGCCCTTTCGAAGCTGGCCCTGGCCTGCCCTTGCGGCCTCCCTCTGGCCCCTCGGCCTTGCTGCACCGCACCCACAACTGCACGGCCAGTGCTGCTTGCACCCAGGCAGGGCCCGGCGCCCCCACCCAGCCTCTGCCTAAATCGCCCTTCCCCATGCCCCTGGCTCTCGGACTTGTCATCGCCCTTCAGGGTGAACTCCAATGTCACCCTCTCTGAACCTTCTCCCAGTCTCCCAGGCACGCTGCTCCTCTGTGCCTCGGTGGCCCTCTGCAGAGACCCTCTGCAGCTGTTGGGCAACACGGGGTTACCAAGGCGGACTGAGATCCTCAGGCAGGCACTTGGCACAGACCTGACAATCACAGGTATGGAACAAATAAACGAGCGCAAAACTGCATAGGAGAAGGAAGGACCTTGGTCTAACCAGACTTCCTTCACAAGAATTCCTGATCTAGCCACTTCTCCTCCGAATTCCAAGGGCTCCAGCCCACAGGCACGGCGCCTCCCCCCTGAGGTGCAGGTATTTGTAGGCAGCGTGCACCTCCCGGGCCGCCCCTGGACAACCGGAGGCACCACACCCGCCCAGTTCACCCAGGCCTCGTCCCACTGCCCAGGGCCCCCAGCAGCGTCCACCCCGCCCTCGCTGCGTCTGGGCCGGGGAGGAGAAGCGGGAGCCCGGCCTGAGCCTCACCGATGCCGGCCTCACGCTCTCGCAGCGTCTGATCCACGTAGAGCCGGGTCTTCCGGGGCACGTTGAGTTTCGTGGCCTGGGCTGGTGGGGGGCCCACCTCCCCTCCCCTGTCCGCAAACACGGCCGTACGCTTCAGGATCTTGATCATCAGTCCACCGCCTGGGGAAGTGGATGGACAGGAACCGATTGGTCCCCCCCCCCCCGCCCTGGCGACACCCCTGCCCTCTGATCCTTCTTCCCCAGTCGGCCTCACACAGACCCGTCTCTGTACATGTCTGTCCTGCAGCCGAGACTCTGAGATTCCGGAAGGAGTGAAGTTGTCTAACTCAGCTCCTACCATTGCTTCATTCTGCTCACAGTTCCCTGCTGAGCACTGTGATGCTCCTGGCGCTGTGGCAGGTGCTGCAGATGCTGGGTGAACTGGAGACACAACTGGGCTGTGTCCTAGGCACCTGGCCCCCAGGTCACGACGGCCAACTGCTGACGAGCTGTCCCCGGTGTCTGCCAGCCTTGCTCTCCACACCCAGGTCCCCCTGTGCCTCATACCCGCCTCCTCTCTGCCCCGGGATGTGGCCTGTCCCCTTCACTCCCCCCGGAAAACCCTCGCCAGTCTGATCCCCGCACCTCGAGTAGTCGCGATGAGGGTGTTATCTTCCCGCCCGTAGCGGCCAAAGCAAAGGCTGGTCACAGCATCCTACGGTGGAGACGCTCGAGTTTATTTGGGAAAATGTTTTGGAAGAGACCGCAAGACTGGGGGTGGAGGGACAGCCTGGGGGACCCCAGAAATGACATAATGGGGAGATACGAGGCGAGGACCGGGGCAACGCTGCCTCCGACACCTCTCCTCGACCTCTAACCTCCCTCCAGTGTCACCACCACGGCCAGTTCCAGACTAAACACCACCGGGCGTTCGGGCGGGGCTTCCTAACAGGCTTCCCGGCCCAGCCCTGCCCTTCCCCCCCGTCTGTCCTTCACACGGCTGCCTTCGCTGCCTTTCGGAAGCACGGACGTGAGTGTGTGGATTCTCTTCTAGAGAGCCTCCAGTGAGTGGCATCTGTCCTGCCTGCCCCCTCCCACACCTGACTCTAACCTGCCTTTCCTGTCAGTTCTCCACCCTTGACCTCCTCCCAGCCCGCACAACACCCGCCTTCTCAGCAGCCTCTTCCAAACCTTCTATTGTGCCGTGGGACCCTTTGTGCGTACGTACGTACATGTGAAAGTTCCACACGTTGCTGGCTGTGACCCACTAAACTGATTTAATGCCTCACAACTCAGTGTTTGAAAAACTCTGGCCCAAGCCCATCAAACTATCTGGATTCCTTAGGCAAGAGCCCTCACACCTCTCAGCCTTCTTTCATGCTGTTCCCTGTCCAGAATGCTGTTCCTCCATCTAGCCAGCTGAACTGCCACTCGCCCTATGACGTGACCTGTGAGTTCCACCCCCATTCACCTCCACCCTCCACCCTCCCGTTACTCAGTCTGCCCTGTGCGTTCTCAGCACTTTCCTTCTGGCTGCCTTGTATCTGAATCAGCTGCGTCTCTGGCTGGCTGGCACCTCGGGCAGTGAGCTCCCTGCAGGCACGGATTCTAGCCCGGCCCAACACAGCGAGATGTGCTCGGGAGGTGCTCAACACACGTTTCTGAACAAATGGCAAAAACGCATTTGGTTTGGAAGTACACTAAGTCAAGGGCCACAGACGGCGTGGAAGCAGACGGAGTGGAATCGGGAGGCAGCTAAGCGGCCCTAGAGGCGGGGGTGGGGGGACACGGGCCAGCAGCTCACCGGGGTGCGGATGACGTCCAGCAGAGTCTTGTCGCGGTAAATGCGGACCTCTCCGTTGGCCAGCCCAGCCATGACGGCCTGCAGGCCCCGAGCGCGCTGCTCCATGAGGTTCATGGTCAGGATGGCCGCGGGCATCTGCACTGTCCACAGCTTCTTACCCTGGGGCGGGGGGAGGGGACAGCTGAGTCTCCACAGGGGCCTCGGGGGTTAGGATAGAAAGGGGTGGCGGGAATTGCTGGGGAGGGGACACTAGAAGGTCATGCTAGGGGGACCTGGGAGTCATAGGTGGGGGCGGGGGGGGTTTCTTTTCCAAAGGCCACACCTTGTGGGTGAAGCCATGCAGGCTGTCTTGGGTGCTGCCCACCACCAGGACCTTGTGGACCCGGACAAGCCCCACAGGCTGGGCGCTCAGCTCGATGCAGTACTTGGGGCCCTTGGAGTCCCTGTGGAGTAAAGACAGACTCTCCCAGCCCGGGGCAACCCTCTCTCCTCCCCTGGCTGACCCTCCTCTCCCTAAGCCCCACAGACTCTCCTGGAAGGAAGCTTGGCCCCAAAGCAGATGACCACGGTCCTATTTCCACCTGGACCACCTACGTGCTCCATGACCTTGAGTAACATGAAGTGCGTCCTCCTTCCTGGTGTCCCCCCCGCCTTCCGTGCAGTGATCTGTATGGTCACCTGGCAGGTACCAGTTTACAGCGAGTGCGGCCAGAACAAGTGCTAGCGGACTCAGGCAGCTGAGTCATTTACCAGAAAAGCACGAGACACTGCTCTGTGTAAACGCACTGTCTCCGTTTCCTGGCCTCTGAAACCCAGTTTCTCTTACCCGGAAAGTGAGCGGAGCACGTGCCTGCCAATCACAGGCTACGGCCCGCTGTTCTTCCCCACCGAGCCTAGGCCGACGTCACAGCCCAGCTCCTGAGTCACCCGAGAGTCTCCCACTGGTCTCTGGGCCTCCGTCCAACCCACACTCCACCCAGCAGAGCATCTCTTGAAGATGTGAATGGATCACGTCACTCTTCCTCTTGAGGCTCCACAGCAGCTTTCTGCTGCACTTCAGGTAGAACGCAAAACACCCACCCCGTCCTAACCGGTCCCGCACGAGCCAAGCCGGTCTCTGCGTCACCTCTGTCCACCCTGCTCGGGACCCTCCCCGCGAGAGCGGCACATGCCAGCGCCTCCCGCCTTGAGCCTGCGGAAGGCCTCCCTGCCTACGACACTCTTTCTGCCCTTTCTGAACGACGGGCTCCTTCTTCGCCTTCGAGTCGTCGGCACGATCACTTGGACCCCATTCTTTTTCCCACCGAGCCTGTATTTTTTCCTCCACTGTGCACGTCCGATGTGCAGTATTATCTTGGTTTGTTGACTTCAGTAACTGTCTTCCCGTGAGGGCAGGAGCTATGTTTATTTTCTTCCACGGTACCTTAGTCAACGCTTAATTAGGTGCTCAAAAATATTCCTGAATTAAAAATGAACGTTGTAAGGAATGTCACACTGCTGAGCTGGGAGGTGTCACATACCCATAAAGCAATGTAACGATTACGAGAGATGTGTTTATTTCTTGCTGTTTCTGACCGCACTGCTCACGGGTCACAGCCGGGTCTCGCACTCTGCCGGCCTGTCTGCAGGCCTCCAGATACCCCCTGTGCTCCTGGTTCGGCCTACGTGACCTTCTCCGCCCTTTCCTTTCCCAAATTCCAGCCCCCAAGCTCCTCCCCATCTTGGAAACCCCTGAAACCGCCAGGCACCTGAGGTGTCCCTCCTGGCCCCGGAGACCATGCGGGCTACCTTCTCAGGATGCAGATGTTCCCGTTACGGCAGGCGGCGGCAAGCCGGAACTCGACATCGAACTGGCCGGAGACCTCCAGGAAGACGGGGACGCTGGGCAGGCTCATCTGCAAAGAAGAGGCACCAACACCCCGGTTTCTCCGGAGCCCCACTCCTCCCCCGCCTTGCAGGGACCCACTCCTTCACGCTGGTTCCTTGTCTGAGGTCCCAGCCTCCCCATGTACACCCCCCCGCTGGTCAGTTTAAACTAGTACAGATTTTCCAGAGGGAGACTTGGCAACATGCGGCAAACACCTCCGACTAGACTATGGCACTTCCAAGGAATGCACCCTACGGAAACATTCAGGTAAGCGTGCAGAGATGTTTGGGCAAGAGAGCCCGTCGCGGTGGCGCTGATAACAGTGGACACTGAAAACAACGTAAAGATACCAGAGGTGACAGAGTAAGTGAATGATGGCACACCTGTGCCATGGACACTGTACGGCCGCTGGAAAGGTGGCTGTGGAGAGAGACAGATGAGCTACTGCTATGTGAACAGAGCAAGTTACACGGTCCTGTGCCATAAGGCCCTTTTTGTAAAAAAAAGTTATCTGTGTCTAAGCATGAAAATGCCAGAAAAGACACATGATGAAACTTTAATAGAAGATATCTGTGGGTGGTGGGATTTCTGGATACGTAATTTTTTTTCTTTTTAAGGTTTTATTTATCTTTAGAGAGGGGAAGGGAGAGAGCAAGAGAGGGAGAAACATCAACGTGCAAGAAATATGATTGGTTGCCTCTCACACACCTTCAACCAGGCGCATGGTCTACAACCCAGGCACATGCCCTGATCGGGAATCGAACCGGCAACCTTTTGGTTCATAGGCCGGCACTCAATCCACTGAGCCACACCAACCAGGGCTGGATATATGTTTTTTTCTTTATGCTTATCTGTGTTTCATGATTCTTCTACAGTGAGTATGCTGTCCCAAGAACTGGGCGCAGGAGGTGTGGGAGGACAGAGGGCGGAGTGCGGCCGGGGCCTCGGGGGTGCCCAGTGCCAGGCCCCACACTGACCTTGGCCAAGACGGTGAAGGCCTCCGGGTCCAGCACCAGGAGCTCCTTGTTCTCGGTGCCCAGCACCAGGCAGGACACAGCGTCCTCGTCGGCCAGGTTCTTCTTCAAGGTGGTCATGGTGGTGATGACTGTCTGCAGAAGGACTCTGGGGGTCACCTACGGGTCCCCGCCCGCACTCCACTCCCCCCAGACGCCCCCGGACACCGCGGGAAGGAAGGAAGAGGGTAAAACCAGAGGAAGAGTATCAGAGGTGCAAAAGAATATTTATGTACAAAGGTGTCTATTGCAACAAACCTAACTTTTCCAGAAAAATAGGATGATCTAAGTCAATTATCAACTTATCCACATGATCCTAAACCATGTGGTCATTAAAAAAAAAAAATCACATCTTAAAAGAAGATTCGATGATGGGGAGAATACTTCCCATGCATTAAGAGAAAAAAAAAAGTTACATCAGTATGATCCCAGTTTAAAATATATGTAAACAGAAAACCATGCTGAAAGGCTAAACCCTTAAACACAAACTCTGGTTCTCTCTGGACACTGAGATCACAGGCGATTTGTAACTTCTTCGTCGTGCTCCCCTGCGGCTTCCACAGCAGGCGCTTGTCCCTTTGTAATTGTGATCGGAGAGAAAACAAGAGGCGGGGGAGGATCCCCCTCTTAGGAATTTCTCCTAAGGAATAATTTAGCAGGACTGAAATGCTTCTTTGGATAAAGCTGATCATTGAGCGATTATCGTTGAGATGAACAAGGGGGAAATCATTCTCAAAGCCAAGTGTAAGGAGGAAGGCTGCAGACACGTGGGACTTAGTGATTCCCAATCAGGTAGGCACGACACGCCCGTGGGAAGACTCCCCCGCCCCCCGCCCCTCAACAGCACCTGCAGAGCCACAGTCAGCTCACTTCCCGATCTCAGAAGTGACAGCGGTGGGCCCGGGCTGCCGGTCGGCAGGAGAGAACAGGGTTTCTCACAGAACTGGTGTGAGGCCAGCCAGAGGCTGAGCATTGTGTTAGGCAACGTGGTGGCTCGAGTGGCCTCCACAGACTCGGACGGCTCCCATGAAGCTGTCTAATCCTCGGAGAACCGCCCGGGGAGTCGGTCTGGACTAAGGGTCAGCCCTTAGGTCAGGGACGGCTAGAGTCCATCCGTAAATAGCTTCCACAATAAAGCCATTAAAATTATAACAAGAAAAAATATGAGGTGAATAAAATGGACACATTTCTGGTCCAACGACTGCATGTGAGTAGTGACATAAACCCCGAATAAAATAATGAATAATCAATGAAATAATCAAGAGGCCACTAGAAGTGGAGTTCTTTGCATTTTTTTGTGGATTTTTAAAACTGTTGTTCAAGTACAGTTGTCTCCATTTTCCCTCCATGACTTTCCCCGGCCCCACCCACCCCTAAAAGTGGACTTCTTCAAGACTCTTGAATGCTCACTATTTAATGTTATGTACTCAGGGGAAGCAGGATATATTATAAAAGCATATTTATGAAGGAAATACGCCAAAACAGTAAGATCGAGCACCTCTGGGTAGTGAGACTGCAGTCATTTATACTTCTCTTATTTTCCGAATTTTCTCTAGTGGGAACACATCACCTTTGCCCCCCTGACAATGGAAGTTTTATAGTCCTGCAACTACAGGTCCGCTCAAAGCGGTTACTGTTGGCCGAGGTGCAGGGGGCCCTGGTGCTGCTTTGCCACAGCACCCACGTGGCATGGGCTGGAAAGGACACTGCAAAGTGAAACTAGTCGGGTTTGGTTGTAGAATTTACCACCAATGTTACATGGCTGTAGAGAATTACCCATCTTTTTCACAGGGAGGTAAAACGAGAAGGGGCATTACCTGACGTTTGAGGGTCCTGGCCTTGTGCTGGTTCACGAACGCCTCCATTTCACTCAGCTCCAGCTGCAGGAACCTGGCCAGAGAGAGAACCGGCACCTGCACACCGGGCCGGCTGCCCTCTGCGGGCCGCTCCCCGCCCCCTGAGCTTCCGGAGCCCCGGCTCTCCAGGGCCCCTTACCTGAGCGACTGCACGGACAAGGGCACCTCTGCCTTCTCCCTGCAAGGAGAGGGGCGGTCGTGGCGGGTTTAGCTGCGGAGCTGGGCCCCGGGGTCAGGCCAGCAGCCCTGGGGTGAAAGAGTGGGGCAGGTGGAGGGAGGGGTTGAGGCGTCTAAAGGGAAGGTGGGCTCTCACCGGATGCCCTCCAGCATCTCCTTCAGCGTCAAGGGGTCGATCCGGTCCTGCGACAGCAGGGGAAGAAGGTGATACCTGTGAGCTCCAGAGCCAGGCAAAGAATGAGGATGAGCCAGTGGCCGCCGTCTTTGCCTTCTTGTCCCCCATGCCACCTACCTCCTTGGCCTGGTTCCAAAGATCTTGTTCCAGGGGGTTTAAAGGCAAGTGGGGCAGGCTGAACTTGAAGTAGGGCCTGAGGTTCTTATACACATACACACAAGGGCCCGAGGCCAGCGCCAGAGCTGGAGTCCGGGGCTCGTGCTGATCCATGAGGAAGGTGGCAGCAGCGGCCGGCAGTGCAGGTAGGGGGCTTTCGGTCAGCACCTTGGGTCCCTGGAGCACCTTCAGGCGGGACTGCTGCCCACCGGGGCCAAGGTCCCCCACCACCAGCTGCAGAGAGAGGCTGGCTTACTCCAGGTTCAGGGTCTGAAGACCTGGCCCCCGACCTTCTTGGGCTAAGTCTTTCTGCTGGCGGACGTTCACCTCCTCCCACTCCAGTGCCCGTGGGGAGAGGAGGGTGACCACAAACGCCCTGCAGTGAGGCTTGCGAGCTCTCTGACCTCGGGAAAGTTGAGCAAACTTCCTGAGCCTCATTTTCCCCACCAGACAAATGGAAACATCTACTTCTTGACACTTCCAGTGAACATCAAATGAGCAATGAATTACAGAGCCTGGTGAGTGCTAGTGCGGAGCAGGTGGCAGCTGGTGTTGTCATCCTTTCGTTCAGTCAACACTTCTCCAGGGCCTGCCCCATGCCCGGCACTATTCTAGACGCTGGCACAGCGGCCGAGGCCAGTGGGGCACTGAAATTCACACCCGGGCTTCCGAGGCCTGGCTTCCAAATGGGAGCAGGGCTGAGGGAGCAGAGGCCAGCCCGCGGAGCAGAATGTGCTCTGGGGATGCAGGGGCCAGAACCGAGCCCTGCAGTCTCTACTTTTCAACCTCCAACCCGTCCTCCAGGCCACAGCGGCGGCTGCGCAAGCCCACTCTCCTGACCGAGGCCTCCAAGGCCCCCGATCTGGTTCCCAGCCTGTTTTCCATCACCTTCCCATCCACGCCGTGCTCCAGGCAGAGCAGAGGCTGCCTCAGAACGTGTGGATTCCGAGCATGTACAGTGTACCGGGAGCCACACCAGGAACTTCCTTTAATCCTCTTGATGACCTCTGAGGCAGGTACCATTATTAGTCCCCATTTCACAAACAAGGAAGCTGTGGCTTAGCGATGTGGGTAAAAGTCACACAGCTAGTAAGTGGCAGAGCTGGGACTGGAACTTAGGTCTGTCTAACTCCAAAGCCAGTGGTCTTAACTACTATTTTTTTTTAATTTTTAAAAAATTTATTTACAGCCTGGCTGGTGTAGCTCAGTGGATTGAGCGCGGGCTGTGAACCAAAGCATCGCAGGTTTAATTCCCAGTCAGGGCACATGCCTGGGTTGCAGGCCACGACCACCAGCAACTGCACATTGATGTTTCTCTCTCTCTCTCTCTCTCTCTCTCCCTCTCCCTCTCTAAAAATAAATAAATAAAATCTTTTAAAAATTTGTATTTAGTTTTAGAAAGAGGGGAAGGAGAGAGAAAGGAGAGAAATATCAATGTGTGGTTGCTTCTCACCAGGCCCCTACTGGGGAGCTGGCCCACAACTCAGGCATGCGCCCTAATCAGGAATCAAACCGGGGAACCTCTGGTTCCCAGGCTGGCCCTCAACCCACGAACCGCCCCAGCCAGGGCATTAACTATTATTTTACGCTGGCCTCAACTTTCTAATTCCGATTTTATTCTTTCCAAATGTGCTATGAACTTCCAAGCCTCTGTGCCTCTGCTTGTCATGTTTCACCGCCTTTCACCACTTTTCTTCGTTGCTTTCTTGGTAACTTCATTCACCCTTCGACACCCGCTTCACGTGTTACGGCCTCCCCAGACAGACCTCATGATTCTCCCACCGGTGCTCCCACGTTGCTCTCCATATATTCTATGTTAGCACCCATTCCTTTACCCCACACATCTTTATCAAATACCTAATCTGTGCCAGGCCCTGGACTATGTGCTGGGAATCAACAGTAAACAATCTAGCCATTAAAAAAGTTATCACATCAAAGCGTTTAACATTTCACACTAGTTAGTAGGTCTGATTTCTCTGCCCTTCACTGCTGTAACCCCATCACCGAGCACACACTACGTGTTCAGTTGATATCATGGGTGATTAAGGAGAGTGTCTGTATCTCCTCCCCACTGGGTACTGGTTCATTTCTGAGTTAGTGTCTGCATGATGCCTGACACACAGTAGGGGTTCACTACAGGCTTGCTGAACCACTGCTTCACAGATAGGAATTTGGGGGCAAAAGGCACCAGAACCTACTGTAATCTCCATGTAAGGTATGATCCCTGCATTATCTTTTAGCTGCCCACCCAATACGCCCCTGGTGGGTTCACTGCCCGTGGCGAGGGTTGAGCTATAGTGGAACAAACACGTAACTTGGAAGCGGACAGATCCAGGTCTGCCACTTTTTACAAACTCCGTATACTTAGCCTATCTGACTCCATTTTCCCCATGAACAAAGTGGGGATCAACAATATCCGTGGATGTGAAAAGGCCTCAAAGAGGGTCTCGTCCAGAAACGGACACTCAATGTATGGTAACTTCCTTTCTTAAACCCAATATATTTTCTCAACCTTTTTAAAAACACTGTGCCTTTAAAACTTTTATTTCTTTATTTACATTTTATTTCTCTTTATATTTAAATTTCATCCTTTTTATTATGGAAATTTTTCAGTCATATACAAACACAGAGAGATTTCTATGATAAACCCCCAAATACCCATCATCCAGCATCAACAATTATCTGCTGGGGGCTAGTCTTAAAATCTGTGCCCTCTTGATAAACACAAAAGTCACTTTAAGTCTCTCCTGCTACTTCCCCTACAGACTCTCACACCTGGCACCCAACCCAAAGGTGCGCCTGCCCTGCCAGCAAAGAATGACGTCAAGTTAATAAAATTAAGAGGCTTTGTCTTAGCAAAACCCCCAGCAACAATTGTTCGGCTTTACTTTCTGCAGTCTGCATTATGAAATCTATGCTTCTCTTCACCTTCCACATAACATTGAATGTGCTTTTTTAGAGTACCCATGAATTCCAGATTTATGCTAAGCTGCTCTGCACCCATCAGGACATCTCAGTTCTGGTATTTCTCCCCCCTTTCTCTTTCCGCCAGGGCGAGCCGCTTACCTTGTACTCCCCGTCCCCGTGCAAGTCCGCCAGCGCTGGAAAACACGAAAGGGCCGTGAGCTAGGGTCTCCAAATCCCGGAGGCTTTACACTACAGAACCGTATCTGCCTCCCCTGTCTCCCCAGACCCCGGTCCTGACTCCCCCGTCTCACCAGATTCCAGGTCTCGGGGACTCACCCAGGCAGGAGGAAAAGGTGTGGATGTTGGCCATGGGGTCGTAGTGCGCATCCAGCCATTTCGAACTGGCCTCCTTGCTGGGAGAGGAGGGAAAGAGTGGAGGAGTGAGTGCCGAGGAAGGGGAAGAAAACTTGGAGGAAGCTGGTGTCGGAGCGCGAGGCGTGTGTGGAGCTCGGTATAGAACGTCTGGGTCCAAGTTCGGGCTCCACCACTGGCGCATTGACCTCGACACCCATCCCCCCGACTCCCAATGCCCGGGCCTCAGTTTCCCCATTTGATCTCTAACAAAAAGCCAGCGCTTTTCAAGAACCTCAGGAGCCCAGATCACGGGGACCAGGGCACCCTCTTCACATCTGTAGGAAAGGAGACCTCGAGGATCCTGGCCTTCACCTTTCAGCTCGGCCGCTATCGGCATCCGACGAAGGCGCCGCAGCCATCTTCCCAGGCGTCGCCTTGGCAACCGGCTCCGGCCCGCCGCCGTGCAACACCCAAGAGCTCCGGGTTGGGGAAAGCCAGCGTAAAAAGGTTCCGGGCACACAGCTTTCCCGCCAGGGCCTGAGAAGCCTCCTTGTAGGATGTGCTGGCTTCTTTGCTGGGATTATGCCGGCGGAAACGCCATCCCTTATCCCAGTTTATATGATTTATCTTTACTCCTACCCTGCCGCAGCATCTGGGCCCCGTAATCTCTGGGTCAGCGGCGGGGCCGTTTGGCTTCACGCCTGGAGAGGGGCCCTTCCAGTGTTCGGGGACAACGAAAGTAACTCATCCCCTCCAGGTTGAAAAGGGGCCACGCTCTTTCTTCCTGCCGCACTCCAAGGCCCAGGCTCAGAAAAACAAAACCCAATGCGCTAGAGATTACATACTAGTATTCTTAAGTTGAGGGTTTCCAGTTTTTAGGCTCCTGGAATTTGTCAAAATACAAGAAGTGGCAGAAAAGAGGACTCCAAAAAATTGTGTTTTGTTAATGTTTGTGTGTTTCCTTAGAGGTGACGTCAACATCCTGTGGTGGATGGAAGCCTGAAAGTGACCCTCCCGCTCCCTCCCCAGGCCTTGATCCCACTGTCCTGCCAGGAGCAAAAGACAAGGAGAAACTGATCAAAAGGCAAAGATGGTGGTGGTTTCTAATATTTATTTTTCTGGCTATAAAAGTAATACATGAAGAGCACAGGGAGAGATGTTGAGTCCTGCAGGCCCTCCTCAGGTCACTTCTCAGAACTTCCATTTCCTCCTCCGTGGTGCAGGGGTAAGGCACCATGCCTTGCCCGCTCCACAGAGCGCAGCACAGATCACATGAGATAACACGCAGAAGCACTTGGTAAAGTGGAAAGTGCTGACAAATGGAAGGGGTTAGTGTCACCACCCGCAGCTGAGGTAGCACCAAGGCCCGAGCTCCTGCCCCTCGCCCAGCCCCTAATGCACACACAGAAACGGGGCCATTTGCAGCCTTGGTTGGATGGAGTCAGGGGAGGGGCTGTACAGATCTGCTTCAAGTCTGGCCAGATGGGGCCTCCCTGGTGTCCTTCCAGAACCGGGCATCGGCTGTGGCCAGCTGGGTGAGGATTTCCTCCAACTCGGGCCCATCCTCTGCAAAGCGCTCGGAGAAGGATCGGATGAGGCCAGCAGCCGAGGCCTCATACTCGAGAAGCTGCACTTCTGAGCCTAGGGAGGACATGGAGAGAAAGCAGCAGCAGGGAAAGGTCTTAATAAAGAAGCATCATCATCACCATCATCATCACCACCATCATCATCATCAGAGCAGCTGGTTCTTCCTGAACTCTTACTATGTGCCAAAAATTGTGCCAAGTGCCTTACGTTTATTATCTAATTTCATTCTTACAATAACCCTATGAAGAAGGAAAGATCAGAGGGGGAATATTTAATGAGTGGTTGCATTCATTCATTCATTCATTCACTCAATAACCGATTTACACCAGGTGCCATGTTAGGTGAAACAGACATAGTCCTTGGCCTCCAGGAGCCTACAGTCCAGCAATTGCTCCATCTCTGCCCACTGTGGGGACTTGGGCAAGTTCTCAACCTCTAAGCCTCAGTTTCCTCATCTGTAAAGTGGGGGCAAGCACAGTACCTCTTCTCTCAAGAAGCTATAATGATCAATACAATAATGCAATGAGCAAGTGCTCTGTTCCAAGAGTCCCGAGAACACTCCCGGGAAGCATTTTTCTCTGACACACTTCCACCGCTCTACCCACCCGCAGCACCTGCTGCGCTCTCTGGCACTGTGGGCTGTACAGAGCTAAGAGCACAAGCTTTGGGTTCAGATGACCCAAGTTCAAATTCCAGTTCTGCCACCCACTAGTTATGTGGCCTCAGGCAAATACAGAGTCCCCGTGTCTTAGTGTCCAGCTGAAAAATGGGGATAATCACCTCTTCATTGCATTGATAGGAGTGAACTCATGGAAAGTTTTTACCCAGCACCTGGCAGATGAAAGTCCTCAGAAGTTATCCAACATCACCACCAACGTCACCTTTGGAAATCCAACCTGTCCTTCGGGGCTTGTTTAATCACACTTCCTCCCCAGAACCTGCCCTGACTTCCTCGAAGGTGGATGTGATTTCTCCTCCACCTGCTCAAACCACTGTTTGTGTCTCCTGGGCACTCGTTAAGGCCTTCCTAACGGGCTGTGAAGTACCTGAGGCGAGGGTCTGGGTCCAATTCCCCTCTCGATCCCCAAAGGCTCCTACAGGGCTGGACAATCGAAGTGCTGACAATATTGTCCATGTAACGAGCACTTGCTATGTGCCCAGCATGATTCATTCATTCACTCTGACAGGCACGGAGTGGCTCCTGGGCGCCAGCTGCAGGGCGTGTGCCGCTCCTGCTGTCATGGAGATGAGGCAGGCGGGAAAATGGCAGAGTGATGGGCGCGTGGAGAAAATGAAGCTGAGCAAATACAGGGACTGAAGGGATTACTACAGACTGAGGGGTCGGGGACAGCCTCTCCCAGGGGATGCCATTTAACAGAGACCTGAATGATCGGAAGAGCGAGCCAGACAAAGATCTGGGGGAGGACCACTCCGAGCAGGGGGAACGGCAAGTACAAGGGCCACGAGAGTGGAGCGAGCTCGGGGGTTGGAGAAATGGGAAGGCCCGAGTGCCTGGGGGGCAGTGAGCCAGGGAGGGGCTGGGGCCATATCCCGTGGGCCTCTGGAACTCAGAGAAAAAGAGTTTAGGATAAGCCTCTTAAGTGCTTTTTCCTCACCAGTAGGAGGTCATTACTGAATTTCACTCTCACCACTGCCCGGACCACTGTAATGAGGAGGAAACACCTTAAATTTGACTCCTGGCCCCTCCAGGATAAAGCTATAAGCCCTGAGCAATTTACTCTCTGTGCCTCAACTGCCTTATCTGTAAAATGGGGACAATAAAAATACCTACCTCACTGAATTATTGTGAGGATTTAAAGGGTTAATCAATCCATGGAAAGCACTTAGAACGTGAAGGAAGTACTTACCACATTTGGCCTGGTGCAATGCACAGTTTTTTGCTCAAATTTTTGAGGGAAAAATGAGGATGCACATTATACATGGGTATAATAATAGGTATAATAATTAATCCTGCATACGATGCACAAAAACGTAGCCGCGCATCATGTACGCGCATTACTGTACACGGCAAAATACAGTAATTCCGCTCCCTGCAGGGTCGGCGCACATCACCGCTGGCTTCATGAACGAACACACCCAAGTCCAGAGCAGTCAGGTTGCTAGGACAAGGTCTCCGAGCAGTTCTGAAGCTCAGGCTCCACCCACCGACTGGCCCCGCCTCTTCTCCGGTGCCTCACAGGCCAGATGCAGGAGGCATGAGTCAAGGGGTGAGGGAAAGCGAATGCTGCAAGGTGCTGGGACCCCGAGGACTTTTAATACGAAAGATCCCAGCGCAACGCAGCCAGGGTCAGGGCTTCTGGGGATGGAACCGTCACTTGAGAAGGGAGAGGGACCACAGGGCTACCGATATCTGTCCTGGCTCGGCCCGATCACATTGTCCCCAGGCTTCCACGTGGCCCACTGGGTCCCAACTCACTGCCTGGCCTGACCTCTCCCCACACTCCAGGCCGAGGTCCGACTCTCTGGTTCCAGGTCTGGCCCCCTGGGCCCCGTCTGTTCCACAAGCCCCTGCTCTGCTGGCCTTTCTCAAACCTTGTTAGCATCTTACAACCAGTGCGGCTGTGTGTACAGCGGTGGCAGATGCCCAGGTTGTGGCCCGAGGTTTGGCGTGAGGAGAACAGTGGCAGCAGGAGGAGAGGCAGGAGTCACCACAGGCAGCCTTCCCCAGGCCCCTGGGCTGTTCAAGGCCACCTCTGCGCTCCCATGGGGCTGCACAGCACCCAAGGAAGGGGACTCGGAAGCCCGTTACCTTCGAGGCGAGTGTTGGGCTGAACGATGAGCTTCCGAGACTCCTTGCGGAGCAGCACCGTGTCCCTGAGTGTGAGGAAGCACTCAGGGGGCGCGTCAGTGACAGCTGCATACCCCTCGTACAGGGCCCGGCCTCCAGCCACGTCGCCCGTGGACTTCAGCACCTGTGGGAAGCAGAAGGTGTCAGTGCCTAGATGGGTGCCCACCCTGTGCCCGCAGGGCTCTACTGGGGCTCCGGCCGAGGGCGCCCAGCCCTGGACCGCATCTGCCCTTAGTGTGGCTGTGCTGAATAAGATGGAAATGCAGATCAAGTGCTTAGCACATAGTGGGTGCCCGTTAAAATATAGAGTATATACGTTATGAAGAATAAGATACCCAGCCACACACACATTGATGTTTCTCTCCCTCGCTTCCTCCCTCTCTTCCCTACTGTCCAAAAATAAAATAAATTTTAAAATCTTTTGTATAAAAAGAAAAACAACGGCTCATCAGTGATTCTCAGACTTTGTTGAGCGCCAGACTCGCCTGACAGACTAGTAAACACACAGAGCCCCGGACCCTGCTCTAAGAACTTCAGAATCAGGGGGTCTGGGCGGGGGGGCACCCAAGAATCTGCAGGATCTGCAAGGATCTGCACTTCCAACCAGCTCCTGGGTGACGCCGATGCTGCCGGTCCACGGGCCACACCTCGTGTCACACTGGCGTGGAACAGGTGACATTCTATCCGATCAGTTCCGTGGGCGTGTTGTGTCATTGGATTCCTGCCGAGTGAGGCAGGCGGTGTAGCCCACTGGACAGATGAGACAAGCGGGGCCACAGAGGAGAAGGACGTTGCCCCAGTCACAGGGCTGGTGAGCACTGGCACCAGAACCCCAAATGGCATCTCAACCCCGAGCACCCCTACCTGAGCAGAAGGCAGGGCTGTGTTGACGGCCGTCCCTTCCTCCGGCACTCACCAGGCTCTAGGACTCCCTCTTTCCCGCCACCCAACAAGCTCATTCTAGTCCCCAGACCAGACTTTGTGCTTCTCAGAGCTTCTTGGCACTCAAATGCCAACTCGAGTACCGCCTCCTCCAAGAAGCCTTCCGTGATCACCGAGGCTGAGGAGGCCGCCGGCTGTCACATCTCTGCCGCCTCTGTTTGCCCTCCAGTCTCCCATCACCCAG